CTGTTTCCCAGGACAGGCATAGCATATAGGGGGAGCTGTAGTCCAGCATTCCTTGGAGTTCAGGACAAACCCTTTCCAGCAATGCAAACAAGTGATTGCTTCCTAGAGCCGCCTTAAAAGGTTCTGCTGGAGTAGGGGCTCGGAATTCCTTTTGTGGCAGTTCATGGTTCGGCTGTGCATGAACCTGCTGAAGCCATCTCCTACAACATGCTTTGACTTCAGACAGCATTGTCGTTTAGTGTCAAAGCTTTCCTGATACTGAGCCCCTGTGCCACCTCATGTCTTACTTCTGTCATTTGGTACTCCATTGGTTCAAGTGTTTTAAATTTAAATAAATGTTAAAAATAAAGGAAACACTCAATAAAAGGAAACTACACTAGTGTAGATTCTTCCACTGCTAGCCAAAGATACTTTGTGATGAAAACCAGTGAAGTGCTTTCCTTAAAGCTTTTTAAGTTATTTCAGTAGACAGGAAGAGCCCTGTAAGTTTTATTCTATGTACAGACTTTCTTGTTTATCTAGACTTATCCAGGTATCACTTAGCTAAGTACTGACCTTTCATGGAACTTAAAAGGATCTGTGTTCCCGATGCACTTGTCAAAGTGATGGAGTCCATTGTGTCAATAGTCTCCCAGGTCTTGTCATTCTCTGGGGGACTTTGCACTCCCTCCCAGAGTATCCTTGGAGTGAGGCCAGAGAGGAGCTTCAGGAAATCTGCCTAATTCTCAGATTTCATGGAAAATTGAATGGAAGACTTGAATTCATCTTGGCATTGCATATTCTCTATATAAGATTTAGTATGAAAGAAGGGAGGGTTTACATTATTTGTGACACCCCACTGGCAGACATCTTGGCTGGTCACTTTTTAACATATCACATATTTTCTTTTTGAAGGGAGAAATGTTCTGTGTTCAACATAATTTTGGTGTTATTTTTCTCAACATCATATTGGTGTTATTCCTGCTAGTAATCTGATTGGTGCAGTTCTGATTATGAGCAATAAATATGTATAACAATATGTTGGGATTTTTATGTTGCAAGTAAACCATGTGGGAAACAAAAAGGGAAGTGAACATAGGCTGTGCTTTCTGACCTCTTGTATCAAAAGTTGTCTTTTTTCCTCCTTGAGGGGAAAAAAATCTATGAAACTTCTATTTTGTTGAATTTCATACTTCTTTTTGCCCAATAAAAAGGATCTCAAAGAACTGACATGAATGCTCTAGAGTTTTGTTGATGAGAGGACAGAGAATTCTCTTGTCAACTTCACAAGTCTTTGAGGCATTTCTGCTCTAGGGGTGAGAAGGATAAGGGTTAGTTTGTTTTTCCAATGATGGCCTCACTATTGTAACATTAAAAACCAGATAAATTCTGGTGGAGACTTTAAAACGTGATTTTATTAAAGCATCAAATAATTTAATTTTTTTTTTTTGTGAAAATAGCATTTTGACAGCAGAAATCTCTGCTGTTGTGTTTTTATTTCTTACCACAGATGAATGAAGTTTTGCTTTGTTTTCCTTTAGTTCCAGTTGACCCAAGTTTAATCATAGTAGTACAAGCCAAGGAGGATGCGTACATTCCGCGCACCGGCGTGCGCAGCCTCCAGGAGATCTGGCCAGGCTGTGAAATCAGGTATCTGGATGGAGGTCATGTCAGTGCCTACCTCTTCAAACAAGGACTTTTCAGGTAAGGTGAACAGAAAAGTTTAAAATTAAATTTTAGATTTAATAAAAATGAAAACTTGACTGTAAATAAGTAGTACTTTCATGAATTTGTGCCTTAGTAATATTAGGCATTGATTTCCTAAAGACAGTTATGTGAATCTGTTTTATGAGTGCAGTTCTGTAGTTTTCAAAAAGTTAAATACTTATGCTGTTGATTTTAAAATACAAGGAATTAGCAAGACTATACACGCCATTTAGGAAGTCTAAGGAACAACAAAAAAGAATAGCACTGTATCAGGTTAATGTATGCTAACCAGTAGTTCAGTGCTATTTAAAACAGTTGCTCAAAAATTTCAAGCTATTCATGTCTCTGATGTGTTTGAGTGGAAAACTCCAAATCCATCTACGTTTTCACTTGCATTAAAGTTGGAAAACTGTCCCACTCATTCCTGAAACGTAAATATATTACTAGATTGAAGTAAGAGATCCCAGAAATAAAGGAAGGAGAAAATACCACCTGATACCACATTTTTATTGAACTCTGTTTTGAAATTGTGATGATAGCTTTGTAGATATATTCTTAAATATATGGAAAGATGCCACTTACAACTGCCCTTTTCCAAATGACACAAATTCTCTTCTCTTTTCCTGGTTTCAGACAAGCGATTTACGACGCGTTTGACCGCTTCCTCCAGAAATACACCATGTGATCTTTCTAATGCATTCAGACTGATCTCATTTGTAATTCAGCTTACTGGAACTCATGTTTGGAAAACAAGCCTCTTGTAGTGTTGAGCAGATGGTCACTGACTGTTGTAGGTAACAATTACCAGAAGTGGTAAAGTACCAGCATTGCTTTCATTTCAACCCAGTGCCATTCTGACACAGCTGCTTCAGCATTACCTGAGGAAAAAACAACAGCAGCATTTGTCAGTGCATGAGTGGTTCATGTACTTCATGTCCAATCAGATTGTGTGTTCCTTCAATTCTGAATAAATTCTGAATCGTGTGTCAGTAGAAAACAGACCAATCAAGTGTTGGAAGAATGTAAAATGTGCTGTGGGGCTAAGCTGCTCTCTTGTGTTTAGTGTAGTTTTGGTTCGTTCCAGATACCTCGGTTACCTCTTGCTTCCTCATGGCCTTGCTGTTCCTATTGTGTTGTACCGTGGCTTTGCCAGCACTCAGCCTCTCGTGTTTGTCACTGCTTTTCTCTTCAATTATGAATTGAAAATGAGCCTTAGCAGAAGGCTCAGCACCACGTCTTGCAAAGAGAGACTTTGACAATTCAAGGAAAAGTGAGAGAGAGATGTTTTCATTCAATACATCCGTGAAGTTTTTCTGCCACTGAATTAAACCGTGCCATTACAGGAGGATCATGTAGCATTCATCAGCCAGGTTCACAAAACTGGAATAAGTGAAAATCAAGTGTCTGGTAATTAATTGTTTACATTAATTCAGTTGGATAACATAAGCTTTCAGATTTCTTTTTCTTTTATGGAATGATAGATGAAATAGAAATATTATCATTTTACTTTCTAAGCACTGGCTGATTCTAAGCAGTTAAACTGACAGCAGATTATATGGTGCTATAAAGACCTGTTGGAAATACTTCAACAGATGTCCTTTCTAAAGTGCACTCAGCACTGATATGCAAAATACACTTGCACTGTATAATTTAAAAGATACGTGAGACTAAAGGTTATTGAAACAGTTAGTTTTGCTCCTTGTTTTTCAACACTTGTCTTTTTTAATCAGATGGAAAATAAAGAAACTTGGATTTTGAATGCATTTAAGAAAATCCAAAGTCTGTTCTTTCCACTTTTGGGATCAAAAATGCCAACAAATTACAGTAGAATAAAAGGTTGTCATGTACCAACTGTGTGGGTATCTCTCCACATATTTTGTTTTTTTGTGGTACTCTCCTATAACATTCTTTTAAAACCAATTTGCAGAGAAGTTGAAAACTGAAGCACTTCAGTATTTAGTAAAGTCCACAACCAAGATTACTCTGAAACAAAAAGAAAAATCCAGCCATTTCTCAGGATGTGTGACTTCTGCACCTTTCCAACACTTTTGATCTCCATGGTTACTGTAAAGGTTTTTAGCAGGCAGAGTATGGAGCAAACAAAGCCCAGTTTACATATTCTCTTGAATTTTAGTCAGGTACACAGGACTGGTAGCTGAAGAAATCATGGTTCATTTGAAAATCAGGTGTGTTCAGATAAAATGGAAGAGCAGCAATTTTGAATAACCCAAATGATGTAACATACAAATTCACTGAAAACACAGAAGAGGTTCTATTCTGTTGGAAGTTAAATTGCTTCTTTCAAGCGGTTTTTCATCATTTCCTTGGACAGCGTTGGTTTTGTATACAGGGAGCCAGTGTGACGTGACTAGCACATTTAAACACCAAATATTTGGAGGGTTTGAAATGAAATATTATTAAATTTACAAATTTAAAATGGAAGTCTTGACTAGTGTACTAAAAGATTCACAGCGTTTGCAAGCACATTCATCAACTAGGAGTGCTTTACCAGAGCACTGTCCGCTGTTCAGCAGCTTTTGTAGCTCTCACATTTTAAATGTAATTGTGTGCTTTGTGTCCTGCTTCTGTTGCAGCTATGAGAAAGGGAGATAACTGGTGGCAAGGGAAAGGGCTTGAATAAATGCAAGAGAGAAAAGACAGATTTTGTAAAGGCCAGGAGTAAGCACAAAAAAAAATCAACTATGCTACAAAGTATAACATGCCAAAGTAAATATTTTCAAAGCGCACAATACCGGGAATTACACAACTGATGGGAACTCTGCATCCTGAGGTTGGTGTCCCGATGGTATTACTAACAAGGTTTGACTTACCAAAAGGGCACAGAAGGATGTTTAGGCTAATAGCACTCCTGCTGTGAGAGTGTCTTTGGGGACAAACGCTGCTCCTGGTTCTGAGAGTGTCTTTTGGGACAAGCAGTGAAAGACTGGCTTCTGACAAGAATAAGGAATCGCACTTTGCTCAGTAACTGAAGTTGCCAAATGTGAAAGCCCAGTAAGCATTATTTAAGAAATTTCTCAGGTTAGAATAACAAAAAAAAAAAAAAAAAAGAAAAATGAGCTCAGTGGTCTGTTTCTGCCAGTTATCAGACATAGGGAGCTGGTCTGTGAAGGGGGTAGTCTTGCTGTGTATGTGTTTTTAACCCTTGAAAAATCGACTTTTTAAATCATATTTTAAGGTTAAATCCTAAGAAAGTATAAATAATCCATTTTGATGTTAAATGAGAATGTGGTTTTAATCCAGAAGTTGCATGAGAGAAATATTGTAATAAGGTTTCTTCTGTGTAACAGGTAAGCCATTCTGTATGTCTTAAATTTATTGTAAAACTGGCCTTGGTAATTTTTTGGTTTTAAATTTTTTCAATAAAAGTCCTAAAAATGTGTAGGTGTGAGAGTTTGGTTTTTTCTCTCTCTTGTTAACAGGTGTTCAAAATGCATCCCACTGTTACCCTGTAATCCTTTCTGTTCCTACTAGAGCTGTAGCAGGAGGAGAGCAGGTAATCTTCAGGACATGATAAAAGCTTCACACAACAAACACTGGTGCTGCTTTGATGTTTTTCTACGTGCTTAGAAACCTGGTAAAGAAAATAAGCTTGTATCAGCTAATTAAGATACCACCATGATTCCAGTTTTACACTTGCCAGTGCAGGACATATCTAATAATGGAGCTGTTTCTAATTCTTTCTCCAAGGCCAATAAAACTCCCCAAATAACTCAAAAGGAACCACTCAGGAATATATATATATATATATTTTTTTTTCTTCAGCAAGGATAGATCACTTGTGTTTTATTACTCCAAAAAATCTGCACGAAAGGAAACACTATATAAAGGAATGGAGTCTTGCTGCTTTTTCTTACTTCTTGAATATTTTATTATTTACATTTGCTTCTTGAATTCTTTCTTACCTCTGGAATGTCAAATGCCTGTAATGGAGATACTCTGTAAACAGTAGAAAAGTGAAAATCCTTGGATCCTCGGAATACTACTTTTGCTTGATAGCTGCTAACACTTTGAGGCAGGTTTTTGTTTGTTTTATCTTAATTGTTTCTGTCTTGTGGGGTTTTTTTGGATTTTTTTTTTTTTTTTAAATGTTACTCTGAATTGCAATTGGTTGGGCAGGGGAGTTTCTTTATCTCAGACCGTCAGGTTCCCTGCCAGCATGGCAGTAGTGATAAGTTACACAGTATGGAAAGGAGCCTTTTGTAGCCACGTAATTCCTCCTGAATTTTTACCCTATAGGAGTAAAATGCTGCTATTCCGTGCAGTCCTGGAATTTGCAGTGTTCCTTGGTAGGCTTGGTTGCTTCCACACCAGATAAAACATGAGCATTAAAGCATAAATAAGAGTTGTTCTTCTCTTGTTTCCATTTGGTGTAAATAAGATGCTTTTCCAAACGTGAGCATTCCAAGTACTGTGTTCCCGAAGGAAGGAGAGTTTTGCCTGAGGAGCCTGACTCGCGCTGCTAGACAGTAACAAGGAGGATGATACAAGTGGACAACATGTGAAGGATGATCCTAGCAACTGTAAAAGCTTTTAGTATCCTCTTCAGCCCCACTCCATCCAACAAAGTCTGCAGGAAGCTCCCCCCTGCAGAGTTAGCAAAGCGAATATGGACAAAAACTTCTCAGGCGCCACGTAACTGGCCAACTTCAGTGCTTTTCTGCCCCCCACGTAATTAGCCTTTAATTATTTTCCTGCTTTTTTCCTGCTCTGTTCAGGTTCCTGTGCTGTAGTATTCCTGAAATCCCAGCTGGCCTACTCCTCTGCTTCCTTATCTTCTAAATCTTGTATGGGAAAAAGAGGAAACAAGAGGTTAATCCTCTTCTAACCTGTGACTTAGGTAGGGCCTCTTTACTTTCATATCACTCTTCTGCTTAACTTCAGAGCTTGGGAGACCAAATAAAAGAAAATGGAAACTGTTATAGTATGACTGATTCTCCTTTTTTCAGGAATGTGTGCAGTCAGCACCTCCTTGATTAGTAAATGTATGGCATAAAAAAAAATATCAAATCATTGGTATCAAAGAAAAATGCCTCTATGTTTGAAGACTTGCTGTAATTTTAATCATTCTACCATTTTTTTGTCTTTATTGATACAAATTTTAAAAGAAAATGCATGTCACTTTCAGTACAAAAAGTGCTTAGAAGCAGAAATTACGTTTTCCTCTATCTATGAAAATTCCTCTAATGTTTGGAACTGAAATCTGCAATTACAGGAATGCGCATTAATGTGGTTTGCTCCTTGCCAGGTAACAATTGTAGCAGATGTTTTAATTCCAAGCCTTCACCACAGCAGGTCATTAATTTCCAAAGATCTTGAACAAAGCAGCAGGCTCCTGGGGTTTGCTTTGAGGTAGGCCCAGACTTCCACCAGCTGATCTCATCTGCTACTACAGGACACACAGTTCCAGAATAATCCTCAAAATGTTTCAGTGCCTGAAGTTTCAGCTGCCGTGGGAATTTGTTGAGTTTTTGGTTGATTTGTGGTGGATTTTTTTCCTGATGAGGAGGTGAAACTCCACACACGATCTCATTAGAGCGGAGAACAACATTACCCTGAACGGAACATATTTTACTGCTGCAAAACCCAGGAAATTCGTTTATTTGTGACACTACTTCGAAACTATTTGACTAGCTTTACAGAAGCCTATTTGGGAATTTGCTGAGTTCATTAAAGAACTGTTGGCACTATTTTTTTGGAGCACCTTCTGTAAGAAAGGGAGTAAGACGCGGCTGAGGGATGAATGAAAGAAATGGGAGAGGAGCGGGTGTCTTAAGGTGTAATCAAGGAGAATTGCTGGGAGCACGAGGAGCTGGCAAACAGGGAAAGGAGCAAATAATGCCGCGCTGCCGTGGCTTTCCTCATGCTGTGACCGGAGCGCTTGTGGGATAAGGCGGCGGCAGGAGTGCGGGTACAGCCAGAGAGCGTGGAACGAGCACACGTTTCTACTGGGAGATGATTTCCTGGGGGATTTTGGCAGCAAGTAGAAAGGCGGAGGAGAGGTGGTGTGATGGCAGAGGTACCTGTCTGTTGGAAGGCTTAAAAGATACGGGATTCCCTCGCTCAAGGATGCTCTCCTGCGCCTGTCGAGCACGTTCTCGAGGCTGCGGCCCGGGGAGTCCCCTTCTCACCAACGAGACGCGCTCACCCTCCTGCTCACCATAGCCAGCCCCTCCCCGCGCCGTGCAGGTGCGGGCGAGGCCTGCAGAGCCGAAATGTCCGAAAGGCCCTGGAAAGCCTCCCGGCCGCGTGAGGTCACGGCGCACGGGAGAGCCCCGGGTCCCTCCCCCGCGCGGGCGGGGCCGGGGC